GATGGACGCATGGAAGGACGTGATCGCACCGGGCCGCCAACCAAGCAAACTCTCTACCATTCCAACCCTCAGCCAACTGTCAGGGGCCTTTCTTATTCGGCCCAGCCCCTCGCGCAATTCTGAGACGCAGAGCAGACGGCCGTCCTGCGACATGACTGTGCAAGAAGCGTCGGAAAATACAGCGCACACACACAAAACAAGGCGGGGCCATCGGGGCGGTGTCATCAGGGGCCCTAACGGCAGTAAGTATGACCGTTACGAACGTTTGCCCTTCCCGTGGGCATGCTTCCGACGTGAACTAGTGCTTTCTTGCCCACGTTCAGGCAAGATATGTGCACCAGNCGACGTGAACTAGTGCTTTCTTGCCCACGTTCAGGCAAGATATGTGCACCAGCTTACCAAACACAACATGGACACAGAAAGCGCCACAAAAAATCGCTCCGGATGACGGGGCGTGTCCTAGGCGGGTGTTGGGTAAGTGTTGGCAAAGGTAGGACAAAGACCGGTCAGGTGAGTGGTGTGTATGGCACCTCACCGTCTCATGCGGCACACCGCTGAAAATTGTTCGCACGCCCATACTAAATCCCTATTAATAGCGGCTTTGTGGGGCTCGTCGCAGGGGCAGTACGGAAAACGCCGTAACTTTCGTATTTGGCATCAACCTTGACCGATGAAGGTATCNGCTGAAAATTGTTCGCACGCCTATACTAAATCCCTATTAATAGCGGCTTTGTGGGGCTCGTCGCAGGGGCAGTACGGAAAACGCCGTAACTTTCGTATTTGGCATCAACCTTGACCGATGAAGATATCGCAGGAAAGCTCTCACTCAGCGCTAGCGATTGGTGCCGTTACCATAAATTCGACTAAACAGAGAGAAAAACGCCAGTAAATACAGTGGAAACCCACGCTGTGCGGGCCATTTTTGACACCACAAGCATTTCACCATTTCAAGCAGTTACGCCGTGAAACTCGACTGTGAGACTGGGTCGACATAGGGCTGCTGCCCTTCACTGCTGGAGGCAGTGCGCGATATGTGTGGTCCGAGTTGTAGTTGGGCCTTGTGCACTCGTGTAACGGTTTGCGGGCGGTTCGGGAGACCTATTTCGGGGGCACACGAAAGTCCTCCAGTTCCCCGACATGCGCATCCCGCCATCCGTGACGGATGCCCACCCTCATACTGAACGCATACGCGCGCCTATGTGTCAAGGTTGCAGTGTGTGGGCTGCAGTAGAGGCTAAGCGCGCTTGGTGGGGTTCCTGTTTCCTGCCGAATCCAGGCGTGCAGAACTCACAGCAGAGCAACATCGCCACGAAACTCTCTGCCCACGCAAAAAAAAAACGAACAGCAGTCACGGAGGGCACCTCCACGATGCATTGATCAGTCCTTACCGGTTGTTTGGGCCAGCACGTCGCCGGCTGCTCCTGTGGTACGCTGGAAAGAGTGATCTGAAGGCTGCGGCGGAACCGATTTTTGAACGAGGCAGTTTCCAGTTAGTCTAATTCCTATATACACCCCGCCACGCGAACCGGAACATTGAATGCCCCCCCCACTTAATGACCGCTACATAAAGTGGTGTATTTAGCGACGATGCCCTGAATACTGCTGTAACGGTTATAAACTTTCGTGACGCTATGGGGCGCTAAACCGGGCCCACAACTGCAGGGCGTTCTCGTCCTAGCCAGCTCTGGCGTGTCCGCCTCGTCCCGAACACACCGAACATTGTTCTTTTACCTCTTCTGGAGAGAAAGATGGCCCCCAGAAGAAGTCCCAGAATGCGCCGCAGGATGGGGTTTAACGTTAGGGCACTCCATCCCGGCGCCCCCCGACAAAAGCAAACACAGAACAGCACCAGCCATCCCACCTCTGCTGCACAAACACAGCCTATCCCACGTGATTTCTTGCAAGCAAGGTATGTGTTGCATCTCGACGCCTCGGGTGCCAGTAGTTCTGTTTGCAGATCTGGCAGTACGGCATCGTAGAAATCAGAAACTGTTCCCACGGAAGGTTGTTCAACACAACAATCATCAAAGAATGCAAAGCCGCAGTCTCTACTCCTACTGCTGTAGGTCAATGATGCAAGTGGATGTGTGCTTGCATGCAGCACACATGGACCTTACACAGATTGCCCCAACTACAAGGCACGTGGAGTAGCAGAGACTAAACAGGCGGTGGGACGCGAAGGAGTAAAACGGAAGAGAGTCTTATTGTGTAGCTGATGGGCTGAGGAGGGCCAGGCACACATCTCAAAGTGGAGGAACAAGGGAAGAGAATAATTAGATTGAATACGGAGACTTGTAGGAGCAGCAGCATGCAGCAGCAGCAGTGTAGTGACACTGCTGCTGTACCGAAGTTGCTGCTGGCTCGCACGGCTGTGCATCGATGCAGTGCACTTCCGAACCAGTTTGAGCCGCACAACTCACGTGCAGCAGACACCAGAAGGGTAGACCACGTCCGCAGCAGGCAGAACGCCATGCACTACAGTAAGTGGGTTCATAAGACTCAGTCTACTGCTGTAGTGTCAACGAGCCGTTCGTTGGAGAAAATCGAATAGAAATGGTCATTGTAGGGGGGTGCAGAGGGCGTGGCGAGTGAGAGTGTGTGTTTTAATATTAGCATCGGCCGCGCTAGCCGGCTGACCAATGAAAAGACGTCAGTCTTGTGCGGTTTAAAACACAAAACACTTCTATCTACCATGAACTGGGACCCCGTGAGGGGGCAGCATGGGGGAGGGTAAACTATCCTTCGGATCGAAAACAGAAACAGCAGCAACAGAAGAAAACTGCACCCGTCTACCAAGGCTATTTCCTAGCACTCGAGTTCGTTTAGGATTACTTTCACCAGTGTCCTCCTTGTTTTCGCTACCATCATTCTCATCCTCATTTCGACAAGAAGAATCTATGGGCAGTTCTTCCCTAGCCCTACGTTTCTTGTTGTGGGGAAGGTCATCTGGCTCAAACCCTTTGCTCTCTTCCACTCCTCCATGTTTTTCTGCTCCATCGTCTTCATCCTCCTTTCTCCCCTTTCCCTTTCCTTCGTCTTCGTCACTCCCAAAAGAATTACCCTCACTACTATCGTTGTCGCAGAGATCCCAACCGATTGGCCCTGGTGGAAGTTGGTCGATCAGTAGCCCATGACGTTTGAACACATCGCGAGTTCGCATCGACAGAAAACGAGCTAGCTCGAAGGTAAACCGTCTCCGAATCCTGTTAGTATGAAAAGCTTTCAGGCGAACTAAGGCCCTCTCGTCGTCAAAATTCCTCCGGCAAAAAGCTTCGTGCGCCAAATGGTTGGCGATAGCAACGATGAGTCGATTGGTGCCTTTGCCAAGACCACCATTCGTTGAAAAAGCAGCAGTAAGGAGGGTAGATCTAGACGGGTTGAAAGTTCCCGCATAGTGATTTGCCTTACTTGCAGCTCGATCTTCGAGGGCTGATCCTGGCTTAAGGATCGACTTGTCGATGCTTCGACCTGCTGATGGGTTGACGATTGTTACGTCGATCAGAATGGACTTGGTGCAGAGGTCCTCTTCCTTCTCTCCTGCGTGTAATCCTGGGGGGATTACCAAATCCATCTTGTATAGCCCCTTTCCCCTACCAGTGCCTGTGGTAAAAGGGGAAGAATCCTCAACGGCGATGGGCATATGGCACTCGCGCAGTGTCTTGAGGACCACTCGAACCATCCTGTTATGGAGGAAGGTTGAGGCGCCGGTCTTGGTGCAGACGAGGGAGTGGGCTCGGCTCAAGCGGTCCTTGCATGGTAACAATGCACCTGCACCACAAAGTTTGCCTGTGTTGCAGTCTGCTCGATCGTGACTCCCCAGTACACGACCGATTGACTCTCGATATAGATCAGGCAGCATTCTTTCATCTGCTGACAACCCTTGCGTTGTCAACCACGACAAAACTCCCTTGCCTTTCGCTTCCTCCAAGCGGATCAACGCCCTCTTCTTTGGCGTTTCCTCGCCTACTACTTTCTGCAAGTCTGTCTCCACCATGTGGCGCACTGCTGCATGAAGAGGTTTCGAAAGGAGAGCTTGGGCTCCAAAGACTTGGTAGTGTTGACCAAATTCATTTCGGCTGAAGGTAGACGGTGGTTGATGTTCTACGTCAGGGTTTCCATCTTCACTGGGTTTTCCCGCCTTCCCTGCTTCCAACAAGTAAACTCCTTTGAGGGCGGGGGTTAACTCATCACTTGTGGCAAGTTTAGCCCATGACTGCCCAACAGCTTTTTCAAGCTTGTCTTTGGTGATGATTTCCTCTAGCTTCTTCAGCGAGTCAATCAGAGCCAATCCTGTCGGTAGCTGGGCAAGCCGGGGTAGACATTGCTCGACTGTGTATCCTGTCGATGCTTGCACTGACTTGGAGAACACCAGCGCTTGCCCTGCCACAAAAGCCGATTCTCGAATGAGAACATTGCTCGTGATTCCTAGTCCTCCTTCACGCATGGGTAGGTGCACCTGCGCCCGAGCTGTCCCTTTGAAGAAATCTACCTCCTCGCTCTTCGTCGGGTCTGCGCGTACTTCTTTGACCGTTGGTATTCTCATGCTGTCGGCCATCTTGCCAAGGACGATCTTACTCATTGCCCACATCATCATGTTGTCATGTAATTTTGCGGCAGAGTTGGTGATAGACGGTGCAATCGTCCTCAGCAGATGGAACAAACGTGGCACACCAGATAAACGCAGCAGTTGATAGCTGGCTTGAGGGTCGTCAAGCGTTGCTAGGCGGAGTATCAATTCCGCCGGGTCACCACGGGCGATTTTGGAAACGAAATTCCTCTGGAACTCCTCTGTTCCTACTGGGATCCCGACAACTGGCATGCCACCTTCAGCAACTGACAGACCAATTTTCGTCAATTGTTGCTGTTCGTCGTTTGTCAAAGAGGACATGCAAAGACCTTCCGGGAAAAGCACTTTGGATTTCGGGAGACTGAGCTCAATGCCTTTTTGGGAGAGACGTTCCTGAATCCAATTCGTTACAGTGGATATGGCCTGCATGTTCCTAGCCAAACCTGGTGGAAGATGTGCTTGGAGGTCGTCGACGTATCCGATGAGTTTCACTCCTGGCACTGGTGGCTTGTTGTTGAACTCTTTCATGATATCAAGAAGTCCTACACAGAAGCCAAACCCTCCCAAATTGCAGCCTTGTTGAACTCCGCGCTGTGAAAGAACAACCTCGATCGAACCATCTTCCATTTTGAACAGAAGTTTCGCCTTGGTTCGAGCGTAGATGTTCCCGACGAACTTCAGCAAGTGTGGCGTATGGTGGCCACTGCTGGCAAGATGGAAGATCTGCGCATGCTGTTGTAAGCATTTTTCCCATCAAAGGAGAGAATGGTGCTGCCTTGCTGGTGGCTGAGGGTTGCTATGGAAGCCACTATCTCAACTCCTTCTGGAACAACACCTCCGGACTGATTTGCTGCTTCGAAGATGTTCGCAATTCCTCCCTTGTACTGGCGGCAGAAGCTGCCGCTGATGATGCGACGCAAAACCCCTCCAACTGCAATCGGCCGTTTTTTCTCTCCCAGCGCTGAAAGGTTGGCACTGGTGTGGAGGTTCCAAAAGAAATCCGGAAGCTCGTCTCCGTAGTAGAAGACTTTAAAGCTGAAGTCCGCCAAGGTTTCAGTGAAAGAATCACTCATCCCACCAGCTTGGAGATACGAAAAACGAAGACCATCAGGCCCCGGAGCACTCTGAGGGTTGACTTTCTTCACCGTCTGCTTGATGAACTTGATTTCGAATGGTTCATCAGCATCGGCGACGGAGTCTATCTTGTGCGTTTTTATACCATATGAGTGTGTGTTGTTTTCGTCCTATTTATTATGGCGACAGTCCCCTCATTTTTCGTGGTGAGACGTGTACTACACCTTCAGCGTATGTATGTAGACTAGAGTACTAGTCTACACTTTTCAGTGGTTTTTTCGTACAACTACAACCATCCAGGGTCACACAGGAGGGGGTAAACACAAGGACTTTTCTTCCTTTTATTTCTTTTCATGCCCCACCTTCCTCCTGCGGTGCGTGCTGATTTTTTTTTTTTCGCGAGAAGGGTCCAGCCGTCCCTTTCTCTCGTCAACGGTGCTAACGTCGAAGTCTGGTACTCACGAGAGCTTGTCAGCTGTATTTCGCTTTCACCCGCACATTTCGTAAAATTTTCACCCGATGGGGGTTCGAACTCACGACCTCTGCAAATAGCGGATTACGAAGATACCACTAGACCACCGGGGCGACCGGTGAACAGCAGTGGGAGGAGAAGAGAAGAGATTGATCGCTCTCTGCTGCCGTTTATTGTACATACCTACGTACCCTCTGTAAATGGCAAGTTATAAATACGGTCACCACAGAGGAAATTTTCCTTTTCATTCGAACACTCGACGAAACGGGCGTGTGTACCGAAGGGGCGCGCGCGTGTTCTATAGCTGCTGTGAAGCAGGGCACTAGAGAGCGGGGCAGAACAGAGAAAATGCAGCCATGAGTTTTGCTGCGTTGGACAGAGAGCGGCGCTGACTTATAACTGGTGTGTCGTAGAAGCAGGTATTGTTGAGCGATGAGGGTCCGCTGTTTCTTCAACAACTAAACGCACACACTTGCTGTATGTATGTATGTAGAATTGATGCGTATGTGAGATGCACGAACGAAACGAGGGGGACGGACCAAAAGTCGCACGGAAACACGGGACGATGGCGAGTAAGTGTTTGTGGTCTGTCAGGGGTGACACCGGCCCCCGTTGACGTGTGGGTAGGCATCTACGCGTGAAAGGGATCGGGCAGAAAAGAGGGGTTACATATTTATGTTGATAGTGTAACAAGCATTTGTGCTCACGCCGAGGCTCGCTGTTTGTTATTATTATTTAAAAACTATCGTAACGTAACCGTTCATGATAGTACGCCCGGCTCTCGACCATCGCCGTGCGGGTCGACCTGCGGGTGGGGCAGGCCACGCGGTCGTACCCTCTCTATGTAGCAGTCGAAGGGGAGGGGTGTTGAAGTCTTCGCAGTGATCAGGGAAAGATTCGGCTGGACACTACAGTTTTAGTCTACTGTAGGCCTCGTTTCTTTCGGGGGGAAATCCTCGTGTATGTCGTCCCTTCCGACCACCCCGCGGCCCGCGCATGTTCTCTCACGCCAGATCGTCCTCAGCAGCAGCAGCAGCAGCAGCAGCAGCAATGCAGGCGCAAAGTGGCGACACTTTCGAGAAGAAGACGTACGATGTAACAGGTAAATTTGGTGTACGGCGGCGTGACAACAGCAACACCGTTAGACTATTGCGTGCGTGCGCATCTACCGTACGTATCTCGTTTGTTCGCGTCAAGTGTATTTGTTTTCGGTGTGTGCGTGTGTGTCTTTATTATTAGCATCGACCGCGCTAACCGGCTGACCAATGAAAAGACGTCAGTCTTAGTGCGGTTGAAAACACAAAACACTTCTATCTGTCATGAAGTGGGACCCCGTGAGGGGGCAGCATGGGGGAGGGTAAACTATCCTTCGGATCAAAGACAGAACTGGTGGCAACAGAGAAAACTGCACGCGTCTACCAAGGCTATTACCTTGTACTCGAGTTTGTTAAGGAGTAGTTTCGCCATTATCTCCTTTGTTGTACTATCATTCTGATCCTCATTCTGACAACGATCTCTTGCCAATTCTTCCCTAACCCTGCGTCTTTTGTTTTGGGGGGGAAGGTCATCTGGCTCAAACCCTTTGCTCTCTTCCACTCCTCCATGTTTTTCTGCTCCATCGTCGTCATCCTCCTTTCTCCCCTTTCCCTTTCCTTCGTCTTCGTCACTCCCAAAAGAATTACCCTCAATACTATCGTTGTCGCAGAGATCCCAACCGATTGGCCCTGGTGGAAGTTGGTCGATCAGTAGCCCATGACGTTTGAACACATCGCGAGTTCGCATCGACAGAAAAGGAGCTAGCTCGAAAGTAAACCGTCTCCGAATCCTGTTAGTGTGAAAAGCCTTCAGGCGAACTAAGGGTCTTTCGTCGTCAAAATTCCCCCGGCAAAAGCTTCGTGCGCCAAATGGTTGGCGATAGCAACGATGAGTCGATTGGTGCCTTTGCCAAGACCACCATTCGTTGAAAAAGCAGCAGTAAGGAGGGTAGATCTAGACGGGTTGAAAGTTCCCGCATAGTGATTTGCCTTACTTGCAGCTCGATCTTCGAGGGCTGATCCTGGCTTAAGGATCGACTTGTCGATGCTTTGACCTGCGGATGGGTTGACGATTGTAACGTCTATGAGAATGGACTTGGTGCAGAGTTCCTCTTCCTTCTCTTCTGCGTGTAATCCTGGGGAGATTACTATATCCATCTTGTATAGCCTCTTTCCCCTTCCAGTACCTGTGGTAAAAGGGGAAGAATCCTCAATAGCGATGGGCATATGGCACTCGCGCAGTGTCTTGAGGACCACTCGAACCATCCTGTTATGGAGGAAGGTTGAGGCGCCGGTCTTGGTGCAGACGAGGGAGTGGGCTCGGCTCAAGCGGTCCTTGC